CTCTGGCCCTTTAAATACAGTTCCTCATGTTGTGACCCAACCATAAAATGATTTTTGTTGCTGCTTCATCACTGTCATGTTGCTACTGTGATGAATCGTCATGTAAATATCTGATATGCAGGATGGGCTTAGGCGACCCCTGTGAAAGGGTCGTTCGACCGCCAAAGGGGTCGCGACCCACAGGTTGAGAACCACTGTGTTAATGGGACACGGTGAACGCTGCCCAAGCCAACCCGTGTGGATTGTTTTTGTCCTTTCGACAACGCCACCTACTACTTTCTTCTTTTCTCATTCCAATGGATTTAAGGACATGTTAGGATGGTATTAAAAAAAGACATAGGGTGTCCCAGAAAAATGCATGCACACACTTTGAAGAATTACAAAGGCGGCGTTTATTAAAATACATTTCCTTTTCAAAAATGGGCTATCAGGCGATAAAGTGTGCATGCATTTTGGGGACACCCTGTACACGCATAAGCATCGAATATCAGGGTGACTCAGGCCCTTACAAACTACGACAAGGAAGAGGGGAGGTTGCGTTCTCACCTTTGAGGTCCCAACACCCCGACCTCAATGCTCCGCCTGAGCCATGTGGGTCCCTGATCAATCCTGTTGGCTTTCAGGGTAAATAAAGGAGCATTCTCGGGGTGGAAAGCCCTGGCATAGAGACGGTAACTTCCACCGAGCGAAACGAAGCCCGGCCACAGGCCTCGCCGGCCACAGTGGCTGTGGAGCTGAGTCTAGGCCTTCGTTCCCCGAGGGCCAGGCTGCAGGGCTCCCTGCTGAACCCCCTGCCTCAGAACCGGCAGAAACCGGGGCCCGTCTCTGTTCACCAGGCGGGGCTCCGATCCAGAGATGAGGAGCCAACCCTGCAACCCACAAACCCCCCCAGGCAAAGGGAACCACCGGCTGGGCTGTGCAAGGCCCAGGACACGGGGGCTGCGGCCCAAGGGGGGAGACCGCACGTGGGACACGGGACGGCCTGTGCGGGGACAGGGGCCCGGAAACACGGCCTGAGAGGGGACAGGGGCCGGACACACGGCCTGGGAGGGGAAAGGGGCAGGGACACGGCCTGGG